GCCCTGCCCGAACGCATTTCGTGCTTCCAGTCTGGGAGGGGGGGACGGGGGGGTCGCCGGAAAGACGATGTTTTGGTCGAACTTGGGTTCTCCTTCGCGGGTGCAGAGGCCCACGGCGTTGCGACTCGTTCGTGGGATGGACGCATACAACCTTCAAACCACGACACTTCGAACGCAACACCACGCGATTTCACTCGTGTCAGCACACCCTCTGTATGGGGTATGGACAACGACTTCCGTTTGTGGTTCGCTCTTTCTTTATCCATCAAAACACGCGAAAAAGACACCACAACACCACATCAGCGACAGAAACATCAACAACAACCAACAACGACAACGACAACGACAATACCTCTCGCCGATGTGGGTCCCCTTGAGCTCGAGCGCGCGCGCCACGGACTCGTCGGACTTGAAGTGGATCATCGCAATCCCCGTGTTGAACTGCGTCTCGTTGAACTTGGGCACGTTGATCGCCACGATCTCGTCCTCCGCAATCTCGTGGTTCAGGATAAACGCCTTGATCTGCACCACAGCAACAACCGCACGGGTGAGCCGCCCGGCGCGCATCGACCGACCGCCATGGGCATACGTACGTGTGATCGGAAACAACGGCGATGAGTGTTGGGCATGAACGCCGTGCATCGACCGCCGAACGCACCCGTGTCACAAGTGGTCGGAAACAACAGAGATGAGTGTTGGGCATGAACTCCATCCGTAGACCGCATAGGCGTCATCGGAAACAACCACCATGAGTGATGGGCATCAATGAAGGTCGTGGTCTTGCAGCACCATACCCTACATGGAAGACACAAGCGCGGAGGACGAGAGCACTCGCACGCCGTCCTTCCCAAGACATAATGGGAAAAGCACCAACTAACTGGGCCCGGCGTGGGATACAAGGGCGAGATGAACCCAACCTTGTGGAACCGACTAAACATGAGGAACGTAGTGGGATCAAACAAGGCCTAGGTAACTCCACGATTCACCGACGCCATGGGAGAACACAACAAGTGGGACGTTATAACGAGGAGGGAAACTAAGAAGTGGGACGGGAAAAACAGAGATGAAACAACACACCCATCCTCGTTGAGAACAAAGCTCGGATTTCCACCCTCCGACATCCACTGGTTTGATTCTGAAAACGTCGATGCTTGACTCATCGAAGAGCTCCAAGCACCCGGCGTATATATATCATTTTCGCTGCCAATAACCGGTGGTGCGGACACAACTTTCGCTATGTACGTTGCTCGGAAAATGAGCACGACTACACATCTGAAACATGACGCACGGCGTGCCCCTAGTGTAGGGCAGCAAAACGTGCTCGACGTCTTCGCACACGATAGTGTTCGCCAAGCCGGCTAGAGCGGATGCTGAAAAATTACACGCATTGTTGCACGTGTTGTCCTATATCAGCGGGGGGGGGGGTGTTAGCCCGCTTAAATCTGCTTCTTTGGTGGTGATACCGAGGGTAGCACAGCGGCCTACAATCTCCGCAAACTCGACCAATAACCTGTGTGCCTTGTACTGCTTGAAAACACCACCAGTGACCCCAATCTCCTGAATTCAGGGTTGATGCCACCAGCTACTGCTGAAACGCCTCCGTTGAGGGGTTTACGATCCGTGGCGGTGAGCACGGCTGTGAAAAGTGTGTGGTTCGGGCAAGTTCCGGCACAGATTTAGCACTGTGTACAGAGGCTGCTGCGACCTTCGACATTTTCAGCTCCAGAATTAACAGACCTGAACGTGCCAGCACACGGGACGCCTGTTCATCGTGCCCGCTACTGATAACAGTAGAATGCATAGGATCTAAACGGCGGGGATGGTTGTTTCTCTCTTGAACACTGGATTTGAGTATCAAAATAGAGCCAGCGTCAAAATAGCTTGTTCTTCAATCACTTGACGCGTTCCGTTGCAACTTCAAGAACCACGCACACGTACCTCGTCCTCCAAGAGGCTGAACGGCAAGCCCTTGAGCATCACCACCATCTCATCGGGCACGTCCGGGCCGAAGGGCGGCTGAGACCCGGTCCCCAGGCGGAACTCGTTCGAGCTCTGCTTCATCACGTGCAGCGACACGTCCACCCACTGGTTCTGGATGTTGGTCCCGTCCAAATGCAATGCCTGCACATTTGGAGAGCGAGAACAAAAAGTGGTCGCCCAAGGTAAAAAGTTGAGGCCGTCAAAAAGAGGGGGGGGGGGGACTCATAACAGTGCATGCCGCACTCGCTAGACCATTCACCTCGCATCCCTACAAATCCGGGACGGAGCACGCCGGGTTTCACCGGGCCAGGCTATCACACAGGGGGGGGGGGGAGAGGGGGGAGCGCCACCATCAGAGCCATGGTCGGTGATCGCTAACCCAGAGGTGGGGGGAGGTCTCGCCGTCGCTGATGCGGGGTGATCACTTGAGTGCAGTCCCAAAAAAAGACATCAGCTCCAAGTTGTCCGCGGCTCGCAGGTGCAGTATGCATTCCAGCGACACCAATCGTCGCAATTCTTGGAGCGGTTGCTGGCTGCTACCGATCGTTAGCCTGTACAACTTCCGTGAACCGGACTATGAATACGAGTGGCCAACGTCCGCCATGGCCCTCCCGTCACGTCCAACGGCCTGGGGATTCTATGTCGCACGTTCTCCTCCCATTCCCCTCCTACTCCTGTCTACTTCAAACGTATTTAGTCTTCAAATCCCGTCGTGGTGTCCACATGTCTGTCTGTCTTGGCATCCGTCTGCCTGGTTGTCTAACGTGTCTACAGTAGTCTGTCTCACACGTCCCTCTCTCTCCCTACCCTCAACCTGAGTGCATATCGTATTTCTCTCTTTGCCACCAACCGGAGGACCAGGGTGCGGTGGCTCTCTCTCTCCCTCTTTCTCTGTTTGCCCCTCCCTCCCCGTCATTTTTCTCACCGCCCTGGCCAGGTCCGGCATCTCAAACTTGATGAAAGCCAACCCTCGCGACCGGTTAGGGTTCTCGACGATCTTGACCTCCACGGGCGCCGCGCCCACGGCCTCCTCAAAGATAGCCACCACCTCACTCTCAGGGAATCCCTGAAGACCCTTGATCGTAATCGTGCATGCCTTTCGCAACAAGAAAAAAAAAGGCAGCAGAAGCAAAAACGTTTGCGTGGAAGGCGTTTTGGTTGTGGAGCAATAGAGAGCCGGTTGGGACGAAACGACTGGTGGAAGGCAGTAGTAAAGTTTGACGGAATAGATTAGTAGTACTTTTATTACCGGAAAGGGGGAGAGGGGGGCAGCCGTGTCAACTGATTTCCGAGGACGGCGTGCGTCGAAAGAAAATAGAGGAGGTGGAGCGAGAGCGAACATGGCTGCTCACTGACTAACCTTGCCCCCAATCGAAAACAGCTACCCATGGAAGAAACTCCCCGTTGCCATCGGAAAAGGGATAGAGCTCGTATTGCAGATTGACACGACGCCCTTCAGGAACTACTTTTTATTTCGCCGTTCATGATAGCGCCGGGCAACTCCAACGCACCGGCGGAGGGGATGGGACTGCAATCGCTGTGGGCACCACCTAATCTAAAATCTTCATGTTCTACACGGTACAATTTAGGTGCAAAGCAAGCTGAGAACACTTCTGCGTTTCGTGCGATCTCCTCAGCTGCTGCACCCCTTGCATCAAGTTGTAACGTTCTACCGTATCCAAGATAGCACTCCTCCTGCTCTATGTGTTCACCTCCTCGAGAGGCTGAGCCAGCCTCGAGATGTTGATCCACCGCTCCCCGATGGACCTCCCGCTCAGGGACAGCGCCTTCCGGACGTCCTCCTCGCCGGAGAAGTGGAGGTACGCCTTGCCCTTGTTCTGGCCCGCGCGTATGGACCTCTCGGGCCACAGCGGCACCGTCACCTTCGGGGGAGAGCACCCGGCCTCTTCGAACCACTGCTCGAGCTCCTCCGTCGCCATGGTGAACGGGAGGCCGTCCACCTGGATGAGGTAGAGGGGCTCAGGGCTCTCCGCTGGCGGCGGCGTCACTTCCTCCTCGGACACCTCCTCCCCCTCCCCTGCTGCTGCCGGCGCCTCCTCTGCAGCTGCTGCTGTAGCGCCCGCTTCTTCTGGGTTGGTGTCTTCGGACTGGATCGACAGTGATCTCCGTTGCAGCTGTTGCTGGTTGATAGGGGCTGCTGGTGCTGGTGACAGCGCAGACGACGGCGATGGCCGAGAGTCTGCTGGCAGAGGTCCTGCTGTGAGCGTCCGGAGGGTACGGATTCGCGTGGCCCTGCAACAGCCGGAGAAGAAAGAATGCATACACGTCAGGAGCATTCGGGGACGGGATCGGCGGCAGCATGTTGTCGCGGGCTATTCTTGCTGCTGCAGCAGAGACGCTCTCAGTCTCTCTCCCTCCGTCTCTGGAGCGCTGTGCACCCTACACAGCCACGAACAGACAACGGCAACAGCTGTCGGGAATTTTGAACGCTGACATACCTCAAGCCAGCGCCGCTCCCGGCCATGAACCTCGCCGCCTTAGGCGTTCCTCTCGCGATTGCCGATAGTAAGGAAGTCATGGTGGAGGAATACGCCCGTGAGCAAGACGGGAGGACGAGTGTGAGGTGGATCAAGCTCTGTGCTCTGCAGAGTCAGCCGGTCAAGCGGGGGGTCGAGGTAGGGGTACGTACCGTTCCTTTCTGCGTCACCCCTGCGAACGGGCAAATCCAAAACAATTGTATAAATACCTAAATCTCGCCGATCTTTTGCTGTGTGTGTGCTCCATGCTATTCCGTTGCACACACTATGTCTTCCGTCTTCGCAAGGCATCTCTAGAACCGCGATGACGCTGGACGAGAAAGGACGAAGACTTCATGGACGATTGGAGTTCTTCGATCGAAACGTAGCGCAGCTCATCAGGCACATCAGCCAAACCGTGGGACACCACCAGGGTGCGTCATTTCGCCGATCTTTTGCTGTGTGTGTGCTCCATGCTATTCCGTTGCACACACTATGTTTTCCGTCTTCGCAAGGCATCTCTAGAACCGCGATGACGCTGGACGAGAAAGGACGAAGACTTCATGGACGATTGGAGTTCTTCGATCGAAACGTAGCGCAGCTCATCAGGCACATCAGCCAAACCGTGGGACACCACCAGGGTGCGTCATTTCACAAGTACTGCTGTAGTCCGGCTTGCAGGGGGCGAACACGCAGTAAAAGGGCTCAATCCGCAGGCTGACAAGCGTTCAATGTGCTACGCCACTCGTATGCTCTGCAAGCAGACGGTGTCAAGCACGGGATCAGCTTCAGCACCAAGATCAAGACCATCGCCGCACAGGAGCCATTCGCAGATCTCCAGGATAGGCTGGTGGGACTGGCCGAAATCACCGAGAGGATATCTCTGGAGAGAAAGAACATCATGGTGAGGGACGAAGTTCGCTGGCTAGGGCTCTTCGTTGCAGCTAGCTTCGTGTATCACTACAGCAGCAGCATCCCCGGCACAGAGAAATATCACCGCACCGTGGAAAGAGATAAATTTACGCAAACTTTTGTGCAGGAGGAACAACAGGTCAGGCCACCACGTTCTGAAGATATTATGCGGAGGAACTCTGTAGACTGTACTTGTACCGGGTGTGTTTATTCCTCTCGTCTCGAAGGGACTCCGATTTTCTCTAATCTCTCTGGATCACCTATGCAAGTATGCCAGCTACCCTTGGCTGTTTTTGGTGGATATTATCATCATCATGTGTCTGTATTCCCAGCGGTGTCTGGTTTGGTTATTGTCTGTTTTGGCCGCAAACACCGCGTTCACTGCATCTCATCATCGCCTCCACCGCAGAGCATTTTGCTGTACTTCTGGTACAAACTTCAAGTTCTCGAGATGGCATGCGCATGGTTTCAAACTGTGGTATTCAAACCTTGTCACGCACCAGATCGATCGAGCCAAGAGCCAAGTATTGAATAAGTTGGCGGACATCAAGAAAACCGTCATTGCACCGACTCAGGTGAGGTCGCGGCGGGTTGTGAAAAAGAGCTGAACATGTGCAAGGTAATATCGAGGGAAGTCGCTAGCAGCAATAGCAAGCATCCGTCGATTGCTGTGGCAATTGACTCCCACAAATTCACCAGTCAGAGCTTTGAAGCGTTGGCTTACCATGAGGTTTTCGAGCCTGAATGAGATACAAGCTTTGCACACTGCGCGCATGGTCCAAACCTGCCAAGTTCCTGGAACTGGAGCAGAAAACACTTCGGGGAGGCATGCTATAGACGACTCTACCTTCTGTAGTTCAAGTCAGGAATACGTGCGTACGTGATCACCTTGTCACAGCAGCAGGAGTATTCGTTGGGACTAGAAAAGTACAAATTTTTCTACCGCTTGGCGCCGGGACTGCTTGAGACAACGTTCTGATCGTCTTGCCGGTGTTTCCGTACTCACTCTCCTGTTCCAGGCGCTACTGCAGGATAGGGACAGCTGTGTCAAGGCCTTAGTCAAGGCCGAGGAAAAAGCAAACGGTATTTGAAACCTCACGTGTTGCGCACCGCAAACGTTGCTTCACGTGTATTGGGGATGCATTTTGCTTGCCTTCGACGGAGACATGCACCTCTAGCGTATCAGAGACCGTTTTTTTGTCGCTGCTACTGCTGTGTCCGAGTTGGAGACTTGGCGTTTCGTTCTCCTCTCTGACAAGCAACCGCTGCTGCAACTCGTGTGGCAAACATCAATCTTCTCGCACCGCACGTCATGCGGTTGCTCCACGCGAACTGCTCTCGCTGATTCTTCTTGCGTATGTGATAATTTTCGCGCCATCCCAGATGATCTAACTAAGGGGCTACGAGAGGATACCTCGTCGGCCACCCTCGAGCACCGCCACCAGCTGATGAACACGGAGGCGACCGTGGACAACAACTTTGAGCTATTCGAGGCGCAGCGAGTGGAGGAGATTAAGGTAAAAAAAAATATTGGCGCACCTGACAGAATATGTTGGATGTCATTGAGGCAACTTTGTGCGTGGCTCCCAATCACGTGGTCGTGCACACCACAAGGGTA